CCGGTGAGTGCCTGCGCCGCGTGGGAGCTCCCCGCGGCGCCTCCGCAACGCTCGCGCCCAGGGAGGAGGAGGAAGGAGCCGCTCTGCCTCTTAATCACCTTCATTTTCTCTCGCTACGCTTATGAGTCTGCAGGAAAAGGCACTTTTCACTTCTCGATTCGGTCGGTTCAGGGCACCCAGGAAGCTTGTTTTAAAATTAATGTGAGTGTTGCTGGCTTTGCTGAAAGCTTGGTTTTGTTTTCTCTCCAAAGCCGTCCAGACCACCCAGCTCACCTTCATGAGCTTTAGATCAGATCTTTTGTCCCCTCAAAGTATGAGAGCCTCTGCTTTTTATTATGATAAATGTACCTTTTCCAGGTCCCTCTCCCTGCGGGGAGGGGGCCGGGGCTGCCGGCTTATCGTGCTTGCAGTGCACTTCCTCCTCCTGCTCTCGCATGTGGCTCTCACGTGAATCCGATAAAGTAAAATTCAGCCTTTCTAAAGAGATTTCCACCGCTTTCATAGCCACGGGGCTTTATGCCACAGTCCTGGAGCTGCAGCAGAATCGCCCCTGGCTTTCTGGAACTGGTGGAGAGTAAATATGCTCCAAGGGCTCTTTCTGGTGGTAGAGAAGTAGGTTGCAGTCTGGCTTTTTAAGTTCTTTCTTTTTCCTGAGAAGGTCTTGAGTCAACTTGCTTCTGTTTCCCCATACTTGTGCATGTATGGGAGACTTGCAGCTTAAAGATAAATTTGAATTCCACATATAAAAGCTGGTGGATGGATGTTGGAAAGTAAAAATGCAAGTCTGTCCATGCATAATTTGGGGGAAGGGTTGCAAAGCTGCACTGACCCCCGGCTCCCTTGCTGAGCTGCTTGCAATAGAAGCTGTCGGCCAAGTTTCCGGGGTGCCACGAGGACAACAGTGGCGCAGCTCAGTGCACTGTTAATTTTTAATTCCTCCTGTTGCCTTGTCCGCAGGCGACCTGTCACCGAGGAGCCTTGACTCCAGCCAGGAGATGTTCCGCTCGGGCTTCCAGCTGTGCGCCAAGGAGATGCTGCAGTACCTGGCCAAGCACGAGAGCGGCAAGGAGCTGAAGTGCTCGCAGCTGGCGGCCCAGCTGCACCGCGTGGCTGCCGAGGCGCTGCCGG